TCCGTAAATGAAATAAAACAGTACTGCATACGGAATTATTTAGTCTTGTTTCGTTTCTTGCACTCAGGGTTCCCTAATCACTGAAAATTGTTTCTTTATTTGCCAGATTATTTTATATACCCTAAAAATACTTAATTTAAGACAGAAGAAAAAATTTAATCTTCATATCGCCACATTTTAATGTTTAATAAGTTTCAGGTCGTCATTTAATTCTTATCATTTGTGGTTAACCCTGCACTGTAAGACTAGAAATGATAGAATATGGGAGTCCATGTGGGAATCCCTCTATATCTGATCGTACCATTCATTAATATACGCTGTTAAAATATGCATTAAAGGGTCTTTAGACTTAATTTCAAGTGACCCACCATGGTGCCGACATGTCCGGTTTACAACGATTCCTTTAAAAGCTTTGTCTGATCAAGTCTGAATTGGATATCCATGTTTATAATTTTGAAAACTGATTACTTTGTCTTGTGATTTCTCTACAATAGTAACTTGCGCATTTCTTCTGCCGGAAATTTTAGAAATAAATCACTTTTTAAGCCTAGAAAAACAAAGTTATCTTCCACGTCATTGATCAGATAAAAGGTTCCAAGGGTATCTTTGTGAATCGGTCATCTGCCTTTCTTACAAATTAGAACAAGAGTCCGTAGAAAAATGAAAGGTTGATCAGGGAAGGTCTAATAATAAGGAAGCATATTGAATGGTGTGAATACATATAAATATTAAAATGTTTCTCTGAATGTCAGATTTTCAGAAATATTTTCAAAATATGTTCATTGTTCAAGTTACAAGCTGAGAGTCTAGTCATAGATCCTAAAATTGGGATGTAAAATCATCCCTCCAGGGTTAAATTCATCATCGGAAAAATAAGTTTGTAAAACTTATTGGAAAGAAATTGGTTCCAAATTGGAATAGCATTTGTTCTCTCGTCAGAAAACTAAAATTTTAAAGATTATAATAGCTAGGGGTAAACAGTAATAAAAATAACAATCCAAGGATTCTATAAAAAGAGAAGAGAAACGATCCTAAAATGCATCAAAAAGCTCGGTTTATGCTAAATAATGTTTTCTTTATCCCCTTGTATATTGTAAACTGGGATATAAACCTGTAGATATACAATACACCCTTATTTTATTTAAATATCAAATTATCGTCTCTATTGTTCATTGTATTTTATCGTGTTAAATCAGAAATTTGTTGTTTTTATCATGTTCAAAATGTTCCCTTGACAAGGGATAACTCGTTCAACTTAAAGCCATTATATTGCCTTGACTATCTGTAGCAAATAGTAAATTACGTTGTATTGTTTATAAAGCTAGATGTGCCCATTAGTAAATACGTAAATCATGTATTGCGATTAACCCATTTAATATACGTAGATATGTATATAACTCCGGCATGCCCATATTGTGATTGCTTAACTAAGTTATATATAACAATGCATAACTCTTAATTAGCTGTTAGAGACCCAATTCCAATCTAAACTGAAGAAATATACCTTTGTTAATATAGAACCTTCGACTTGATTACAGCGAGAGAGTAAACGTTCCTTGTTTTGATAAATAGGTTGAGGATCGTGTCCTAGTTGTGACATTGATCGATTAATTGCTAGTGTCCGAGTTGACATTGATAGCGAACAAGATCGCGCCTAATGGTAGTGGCATTGATAGTTTACGGAGTAATATCAGTGTGTTGACATTGATAGTCAAGAGAACCTTAATTGTACCTGGTTAGATACGTTCCCAGAAATTGTTATGGAGTAGGCATTTACTACATATCTATTTATTTTTCAAACATGATTGTCAAAATAAATCAATACTTGTTTGATTTCCAAAAATATAATTGTCTTCAAAAAGATTTTAAATGCCCTCCCCCCCCCTCTTAATTTCGTCGTCAGCATGATGTACAAAACAATATAGCAGGATTCAAAGATAAAAATGACGTGCATTTTGATTGATGTAAACATATATACATATACATACATAATATATATATATATATAGAGTATAGTGAGATTCTAAAATATATTAAAATGTTTTAATTTGAAGCTGATTCTTTAAATGCATAAATATATCCACATAATTTTGAAAGAAAATTTATATATATAAACATTTCAGCAATAAAAAAATCAATTTAAATCAAATTCTTTAGTTTCTATGATAAAATATATCAAGAATAAATAAAAATATTGTTTCTGTAAATCAAATCAAATGTTGTTTGAAATTCAGTTTTCTTTATTTACTTAAGTAAATTTGTGTGTATTTAGATCTTTATAGTTCAAATACGGGCATTGTTTGACAAATAAAATATGTACAATGTACGTCTATGTACGTTTAAAATGTTAATTGTACATTGTATTTTGTATTATGCAGAATATTTACATACTACATTGTACGCGTCGCGTACTACGCGAAATGGTAAATTTAAGCATAAGGACATTTTTAACCGTTGGATAATTAATGTATCATTGTACAATATCGTACTTATGATGCTGATCATGACACATTTACATATATTATTAATGCGTTATGCATTTTTAACCGTTGGATAATTAATATATCATTGTATAATATCGTACTTATGATGCTGATCATGACACATTTACATATATTATTAATGCGTTATGCATTTTTAACCGTTGGATAATTAATGTATCATTGTACAATATCGTACTTATGATGGTGATCATGACACATTTACATATATTATTAATGCGTTATGCATTTTTAACCGTTGGATAATTAATGTATCATTGTACAATATCGTACTTATGATGCTGATCATGACACATTTACATATAATAAAAAAGTTATGCATTTTTTTTACATGTAACTGAAATTTGCGTAACTTGTTTACAATCTATGTTTCACTGCTATATATCTGTAAACGTATATCCGTCCCCCTTCACTGACAGTTTTCATCTGACTGAATAATAATATTACTCATGCTACTCAGAGAGTTCTGTCCGTTTAATGTTTCTATCTATCTATCTAGCTATCTATCTATCAACTCTGCAAATCTATCGAAACGGGATTTTTAATCAATGACGTAATTTCAAGTTTTATTTTGATGATTTTTCATTTTGAGCAAAATAATACAATTTGTAATCTATTTTGCATTTAAGAATAACGTTCAATTATATTTAATGTTTTCCAGTTATAGCATCAACGGCAAAACCGGGTTCAAATTCTACATTCTACACCCTTTACGAATCTTTACAGGGTACAGTTCAGTGGTTAAATTTTACAATCTATCAAAAATAGAGATGCTATATTTCTCATTCTCAGTCTTTTAACGGTAAAAGTGAAAATCTAGGAATAAACTTTTTTGTTCATTAATATATCTTTTTACTTTTTTTTCAAACAATTTGAAAACATTTTGATTATAGCCTTTGAATAATACGGATTTTTATTAAACTATGGATTTTATGTATTATTTTGTAATCTTTAATCAAATCTTTGACGTGGTCTTAAGACCGCAAATCTTTGAAATGGGATAAAAATATTTATCATGAAATATATATAGTGTCCGAGTTGACATTGATAGTAATCAAGATCGCGCCCAGTGGTAGTGGCATTGATAGTTCATGGGATTGTAGCCATGCGGATTGTGTCCTGTTTGAGACATTGATCAATTGATTGCTATTGTCCGAAACTCTACCCTACTTTACTGTTTGCAGTGTACAGGTGGTCGATGTGGGGTCTCATGAACAGGGTGTTCGAAAACTTTAGAACAGGGATATACAGTTTTGACTTTCATGTGTTTTTCGTTTTTAAAAATGGTAAATCAAAAATATGCCTTTTTGTGATAATCAAACGTTTGTTAATTTTCTTTTTTGGGACAAAATCCATAATTCGCAAAAACAATAATAAAATTTGTAAAAAAGAAAATTAAATTTTGAGACACCCAATTTGTTGGATATATAAATATACAGAGAAGAGTAAGGTTCCTACATCTTCAGGCAAAGAACAGGGTAAAATAGGGTCGACATAGAAAATCTACCTAAATTTTAAGACGTTAAAAAAGAAATCCGTTAATCTTTTTTCTTTAAGATTAAAAGGAGGACCTATTTATCCCTGGTAAGCAAAGAATTTGAAAGCATGGGTTATAGTATGACTATAGAGAGAGAGAAAAGGTATTGCGCTTCAATCTGGTTTCAGACGCAAGGGAAAGTAAGAGTTCAACTGAAAAAACAGAGAAAGACAAGAATTCAGGAATTTTATTTTAAGTTTCTTGAATTCCTTAAAGAAAGTATAATTTTGACGGGGGTTAGGAAATATGAAGAAAAGAGATATATAAGCGGTGTACAGAAAGGAATTGAGTCTTTGCCACAAACTATGATTTCATAATCCCCATATCTTTGCAACCCTATGTCGTAGACCTTAGACATTTCAAACTATGAAATCTGCTAGATCAAATAATCTAAGCTTGAAAAATCAAAGGTTTACACCATTAGATTGTGTAGATATAGGAATAAAAAAAATTTGAGTTTGTGTCAAAAACTCAATTCCTTTGTCCAGGGAGGGGCTTTACCTTTTGTCCTTCCAAGAATATGCTTCCAATGGAATTGTTTTATATTTCTTACCCCATAAACCCTACTCCCTGCGTACGCCCCTGTATACAGGAACATAAAAAACAGTTTAAATAAAAATTTGAAAAATTATGAAGAATAAGAAAATGATAAATAAAGAGAAAGAAAAGAGAAAATAGTAGAAAAAAAAAGAAATATAATTGGAAGAAGGACAGATCTTAAAGTTAGCCTAAGATGGAGTATAAAGAAAGAAATGAGTAAATTCCAGAAATCTGAAAACTCAAAAAATCAAACAAAGAAGAATGAACAAGAATTGAAGAAGATAAGTAAACATAATTTAGATCAAGGTTTAAGACAAGTATTGTCTGAACAACAAAGAAAGATAAGATGAAGACTATTACTACTTGAGATTGTTAAAAAATAATAGATTTTCTAATATTTATTATCCATTTGTTACTTATAAATGTCGTCTTAGTTATTGCCGAGTTTGATATTAATACAATTTATACAATACAAATATAGGTAAATATAAGTTTTTAACCCTTTCTAAACAATATTTATAAGAAACATTCATAACTTTCAAATCAATAACTTTTACAAAACTTTTAATTTTCCATAATATTGACAAGAATTGAAGAAATGATACTTTCGGTGATCTTTTTCAAATTACCCGTTTTCTGTAAAATACTTGTTACAATATTTATAAAATTATCATAAAACAGTTGTTTTAGAAGATAAACCTATTTTCTTCTTTTGTTACAAATATTAGAAATAACGCTTATTTTGAATTTTTATTTGGAAATTTTTAAAATTTTGGGAACTTCTGAGGGTTAGACTTTTTAAAGGCCGTATAATAATCATTTATAAAATGATAAAACTCGTTTTTTAGTATAAATATGGATCAGTTTCTTAACTAACTAGATATATGATGTTTAAACCATCAATCAACCTTTTCTAATTTTTTAAATGACTAAATTATGGTTGTTCTGTGGAACAAAAAAAATTCTTATATAATCAACATTAATCATCATTTAAAATTTCTAAAATTCTTTAATGTTCAATAGTTGCTCCGGAGTTCTTTAGTTCAGTAGTTCACAGCCATTCTTCTCTTACAGACCCGTTCTTTTTCCAACAAATCTAACTCCTGTATAAAATGTGTTAATAATATCATTATTTAGAAAAGAACCTGTATAGTGTACAGCCTGTTTACTGTATACCTTATCCATAGTATATTTTGAAAAATGAAAATTTACTAATTTGACATTTGAAAGACTAAAGTATGATTTTGGTGAAATATTTATATTGTAAAGCACTAAGCCCAAGGTTCTAACATCGTCTTTTCTGATACTGCAGTTCTTCAATTATCATACTGGGACATTTTCATCTTTCGAAACATGCTAGGGAAACTTTTTATGGGATTATTTATTAGTTTTGTTTGTTATTAATTTTTTAAATTTAGATTCTTAGACTTTTTACAATTGAAAGAAAAGAATAGTTTTAATTTGTGTGACCTCTATATCATCTTCTATCTCATCTAATTCCTGGATCCTGGAGTCAGGGTTCAGCGAGGCTGTACTCAGCCTCCTACACTTCAACCTCATCTGTCCTGTCCTCTCACTTATACGCAGAATCTAAACAACAACAACAATTACTATACGTAAATAACAACAACTATACGTAAGCAATAACAACAACTTTACGTCAAAAACAACAACTCTTTGTAAACAACAACAATTACTATACTTAAAAACAACAACTATGCGTAAAAAAACCACAACTATACATAAACAACAACAATTAATATACGTTAATAACAATTACTATACCTAAATAACAACAATACGTAAATAACAACAATTATGTATTTCCCCCACCTAATCTGTCCTATCCTCTCACTTTGCAGTATGCAGGATATAAACAACAACAATAATAACAACAACAATAATAAAATTAATTATATATTTCAACCTTTATGTCCTGTTCTCTCAAGTATATGCATAATTTAAACAATGAAAACAAAATAATACCTAAATAAAACAACAACAACAACAAAACAGCAATCACGCCTTACCAAGCAACAACATCACCAGAGTAACACAAAAAATCTATTTTATACCTGGTCTATCTATTCCTCTCACTTATTGCAAAATCTGAGCAGTAAACAACAACAATAGCGCTCAAGGGCGGCAACAGGGGAGAGGCGGGGGACCTCCCCCCCCCCCCCAAAAAAAAAACAACTATACTACTTATATAACAACAACTACAATAAAAACAACAACAAAAATAGCAAAAGCCACACAACAATAAATTCTATTTTCAACATAGTCTACCCATTCCTCTCATTAATATGCAGGATCTAAACAACAACAACAACATCAATCTCAAAATAACAACAAAAATATGACAGCAATAGCAGCAGCGCCGAAACAACAACAAAAAATCGAAAGTCCAATCCTTTCACTTATATGTAGGATCTAAACAACACAACAACAACATAATACGCAAGATCTTAACAATACAACAACAACATAATACGCAGGATCTAAAAAATACAACAACAACATAATACGCATGATCTAAACAATACAACAACAACATAATACACAGGATCTAAACAATACAACAACAACATAATACACAGGATCTAAACAATACAACAACAACATGATACACAGGATCTAAACAATACAACAACAACATAATACGCAGGATCTAAACAACACAACAACAACATAATACGCAGGATCTAAACAACACAACAACAACATAATACGCAGGATCTAAACAACACAACAACAACATGATACACAGGATCTAAACAACACAACAACAACATAATACGCAGGATCTAAACAATACAACAACAACATAATACGCAGGATCTAAACAACACAACAACAACATAATACGCAGGATCTAAACAACACAACAACAACATGATACACAGGATCTAAACAACACAACAACAACATAATACGCAGGATCTAAACAATACAACAACAACAACATAATACACAGGATCTAAACAATACAACAACAACAACATAATAAGCAGGATCTAAACAACACAACAACAACATAATACGCAGGATCTAAACAACACAACAACAACATGATACACAGGATCTAAACAATACAATAACAACAAAAGAATACACAGGATCTAAACAACACAACAACAACAAAATACGCAGGATCTAAACAACACAACAACAACATGATACACAGGATCTAAACAATACAACAACAACATAATACACAGAATCTAAACAATATTAACATTTACAACAACAATAAGAAGAACAAATAAGATATATAACCAATATAAAATACCTTTGAACTAGTAACTAGGAATGAACATGAGAATATCCACAGTGAGGCTGGAATAGAAAAGCTTATGAGGAAAAGATCTTTTGTACTTTGAACATCAAACCTAGAAAAATCTATTTAAAAAACAAGCAAAATAAATCTAGCTTTGAAATTGTACCATTTACCGAAAGGAACAAAACATCCTAAGGGAAAAATTTTGTTTATGCAAAATTGTTCGAGGCTAATAAAAATTTTAATTTCCCTGAACAGTAGTTGTACAGAATTTTATTGTCTTTTGAGGTGATAATGTGCAAATTGTTTACGAAAACTTTACAAAGCGGGATGTTACTCAACATGAGGGGGACATTTAACTAACTTTACATCCCGCTGTTGGAGTAAAATTAGTCAAAAAGCGGTAAAATAATTAAATATCTTTAATTACCATTAATTACCTGACAGTAACATAATCAGAGTTTAATGGATTATAGAAACAGGGGTAGGTGTTCCTAAAATTACAATTAATACAATTTTTTCCAAAACATCATTTTTTTCAATTAAAACTGATTCGCGTCTTTTTTCAGGTAGCGTCGTTAATCGTTGTTAATTGTTGTTAATCTTTGTTAATCGTTGTTAATCGTTTTTTTTAAATTTAATAAAACTATTTCAAAACTATATTATGCTAACTTTGCAATATAATAAAAATTGAAAAAGTATCTAAAAACGATCTTTACAACACGTTTTGGATTATGTTTTGCACATATCTTCTATCAAGGTCAAAATTTAACAAAGTGATAAGAACAGCATAGGTTTTGAATAAAAATTAAGAAAAATATTATTACGATAAAATTTAAAAAATCTAAAACTTATTTTATAAAATTCGCCAACTTTTTTGTTTTTTTCTTTTACAATGTGTTCTAAAAGAAAATTTTCAAAATTGAAATAGAGGATGGGCGCGAAACGCCCTAAAAGCCTAGTTTAAATATATATACTTTGCTTGTCTGTCTGTATCCAATAAACGTCAAAACAGCTGAACCGATCGGATCAAATTTTGTTTTGGAAATTGGAACCTCACATGACCCAAGGGAAGGTTTACGGATAATCAAATTTCAAAAATTAGCCTCTAACAAAATTTGATTTTCAATAAATTGTGAAAATCTACGAAATTTTTGTAAAAAATCCGCTTTTTTGTTATTGTTTAACAATATATATATAAAAAAAATGTTCACAATTGAAAAAGAAGTCTAGTAGTTGTATATTTACAAGGTGTCTCAAAAAAACGGTGAATAAGGGCCTACAGACTCGTTTGTAATCAAATTTTCAAGATTAAAACCATTTTTTAAATCTACGTACAATTTTCGATTCTATGAGCCCAATTTTAGGCTTGTAGATCTAATTTTATAGGCCACTACACCCCAAAGCCTCATTCCCTTTACAAACTTGAGGTTAAAATCAGGAGAGAAAAATAGCTACTAGCTGGACCCTGCTGTCTCCCAAAAGGCTATTTTTGAAGTTAGATCAAGGGCCCGAAAGTGTCTTGCTGCTAATGGTGGACATTTTGAATAAGATTGTAATAAACTGTGAACTAAATTGTATTAAACTGTGAACTAAATTTTAATAAACTGTGAACTAAATTTTAATAAACTATAACCTAATATTGAATACAAAATTGTGCAAACGGAGATCATCTTTTACTTTTTACTAGCTCCAGTTGAAAACTTTAGGAGCCTATTAAATTAAGTTATTTTTAGATCTACAAGCCTAAAATTAGGCTCATTTAATTGGAAATTGTACGTAGAATTTAAAATTGGTCTCAATCTTGAAAATCCGATTACAAACGAGTCTGTAGACCCTTTTTCGCTTTTTTATGAGATAACCATATGTGAACCCTTTAGTTCCCTGCAGAACCATTCATTACTAGTACTGGGATAAGTGCGCATACTGCAGGGTATCCATTAGTAACCTCCAGTACCCCACAGTTTCCCTCAGTACCCCCTTGTACTCCCCGTAACCCCCTGTATCCCCATGTACCCCTGTATCCACAGGTTCCCCCGTAATCCCAGGTACCCCCAGTACACCCTAGTGCACGGTAGTACCGCCCATTAACCTACAGAACCCACAGTACCCCAGAGTACTCCCCCCGTACCCGCAGTAACCCACAGTACCCCCATACCCCAAATNTTAATAGCTAGATAGCTAACTAGTAACTACTTCTGTTTAATAGCTAGATAGCTAACTAGTAACTACTTCTGTTTAATAGCTAGATAGCTAACTAGTAACTACTTCTGTTTAATAGCTAGATAGCTAACTAGTAACTACTTCTGTTTAATAGCTAGATAGCTAACTAGTAACTACTTCTGTTTAATAGCTAGATAGCTAACTAGTAACTACTTCTGTTTAATAGCTAGATAGCTAACTAGTAACTACTTCTGTTTAATAGCTAGATAGCTAACTAGTAACTACTTCTGTTTAATAGCTAGATAGCTAACTAGTAACTACTTCTGTTTAATAGCTAGATAGCTAACTAGTAACTACTTCTGTTTAATAGCTAGATAGCTAACTAGTAACTACTTCTGTTTAATAGCTAGATAGCTAACTAGTAACTACTTCTGTTTAATAGCTAGATAGCTAACTAGTAACTACTTCTGTTTAATAGCTAGATAGCTAACTAGTAACTACTTCTGTTTAATAGCTAGATAGCTAACTAGTAACTACTTCTGTTTAATAGCTAGATAGCTAACTAGTAACTACTTCTGTTTAATAGCTAGATAGCTAACTAGCAGCTACTTCTGTTTTGCACGAAAGTCAAACTATAATTTCCTTAAACTGTTTATTCTGAACAAACGCTTTTATATATAAGTTTTTAATCTGGAAGAAGATATTTGCATGAACGAACTTAATAACAAATTAAATGAACGATAGCTTTTTTCTAAATTTTATTTAGTGTAATATATTCAACTGTTTTGACATTGGCAAAACTTCTTTATTTCGTGAAGTCTTTTTAAGTGTTAATAAGGAACGAAACTTTATACCCAACACTATAAATTGCAATAAATAGCATTATACTCTAACCTCTCTATTGTAATTATTAAAATCCTAAACAAACTTCAATTTTGTTTATCCGAAGAATAAATACAAGATTAAATATTCATACATAGAGTTTATTAGTTAAAACATGTTAAAAATATGGATATACATATACATATACATGGAGATTAATAGTAACTATATATTTATTATCTACATGACTACTTGAACAGTTGTCGTCTGCAGGTTCGTTGTAGTCGCATTCTATACTTAGCATCTATCAGGACTAAGGTCTTGGATTTTACTGGTGTTAGATCTATTGTATCATCAACGATACACCTTTCGTCTCTCCTTGGTTTTATCGGTGAAGGGAGATCCATGGTAGCTTTAATGGTGTTCTGGTCACAAGCGTAAATGGTTGGTGGAAACAATGATCTGATATCTCTGATATGGACAGGAGGTATTGTATCATCAACGATACATCTTTCGTCTCTCCTCGGTTGTATCCGTGAAGGGAGATCCATGGTAGCTTTAATACAATCGTAAATGGTTCTTGAAACAAATGAACTGACATGGACTGGAAGAATTGACTTCATGATAAAAACTATCATCAAGCCAGCTATACAGATATATTGAATAACTAATAGTATAACTTCCTTCAGAAGAATCATCCGAGCCTTCTGTTCTTCGTGCTCTTTCTCCCTTCGCTGTATGCAGGTCCAATACTCCTGGCTGGGTGACTTGTGGTTTTCTTGGTAGCAGCCAGAATATCCAGGTAAAATAATAGGATGGAAGGATTGATCTTGAACATCAGCAGGGCCGGAAGCGGTGCAACAGTAAAAAGCAAAAGTTACCGCAACTGCAGCCAACAGAGTGAATCCCAGAATCTTCATAGCAGGAAAACTTGATGAGTTGGTTTGATGGCAATTGTGTGATAATATGATATTGAATGATAAACTGATTGGATCAACCTGCTGTTTATATAGACAGAGGTATCATGTAGACGGTCATCTTTAGTTAAGACACGATGGGAGGGAGGTGCTGGGGGGAGGGAGGGAGCTGAGTGGGTTGTTTACACTAGTTTATATTCGGGTTAAAACTACATCTATTTATATTTCTATATTGCATAGAGCTCCCAGCTGACATTCGATCTCCGCCGTGTTTTGGTCTCCACCATGTCGTATGTGCAATAGCACAGGTTTCTATACCTCCATAGTATGTACTCCATGTCCCCTCCATCATAAGTGCTGTGGTGAAGAAATTACTACACTGCCATATTATATACTCCAGATTTCCACTATATCTCCTCTTTCGTAGGTGCGATGGCTAAGTAATTATGTACCACCATAGTATATACTCCATATATCTCCACCGTAGATACTATACTCTGTTGAAGGTGCGAGGGCGGAGTAATTTTGTACCTCCATAGTATATACTCCATATTTCTGATATATCTCCTCTGTCGTAGGTGCGATGGCAAAGTAATAACATACCACCATAGTATATACTCCATATATCTCCNCTAGAATAGTTTTGCCGTCTGTGGAATAATCTAAAAATACTGTATACCTGCTAGAATAGTTTTGCCGTCTGTGGAATAATCTAAAAATACTGTATACCTGCTAGAATAGTTTTGCCGTCTGTGGAATAATCTAGAAATACTGTATACCTGTCACAAAGATAATATATATATATAGATACGCAGGGCTACTATAATTTTGAAGTCTTGAGAAAAAGTGAAATCAGCACCATCTCTGTCGTACGCATGGCATTATATCCTCTGGATTGTTACTTAATGAATCAATGCAAATAAAACTGAGGTAGGAATTTGGCTAGACAAAGTTTAGATGTGCAATTTGTACTGAATGGCATACGTAAATTAATGCAATTTAAATAAAAATTACGGCTAAAAAGTACATCGAATCAGGACAAAGTCCTAATAGCGGACAGGATCCGGTCGAAAAATACATCCCATTCAACACTACTATGGTCGGTTGCTCCTGGCTCTTCATGGCTCACAAGAAATTTAATTTTATTGGTCAAACAGGTCCAGATAGCAACACTTGAACTATACAGGATGCAAGAAGCGTACTGTATGTTTATATAACACAATTTACAAATGCGTATTTCCTACAGATGGCAGCGGGGGGAGAAAGGAATAAAGAAAGTAATCAATTTGCTATAGATGTATCTCGTTGCACTTTATCTCAGAGGTACAAAAATTACTTGTCAGCTACAAGCAATTTAGGAAGGAGGTTTCTACCTGCCTGCGTATCTATATATATTTTATCTTTGACCTGTCAGGACAGTTTTTTACTTTTTGTAGAATGATCTAGACGTACTGTATACCTGTTAGAATAGTTTCTACCGTCTGTAGAATGATCTAGACGTACTGTATACCTGCTAGAATAGTTTTGCCGTCTGTAGAATGATCTAGAAGTACTATATACCTGCTAGAATAGTTTTGCCGTCTGTAGAATGATCTAGACGTACTGTATACCTGCTAGAATAGTTTCTACCGTCTGTAGAATAATCTAGAAGTACTGTATACCTGCTAGGATAGTATCTACCGTCTGTAGAATAATCTAGAAATACTGTATACCTGCTAGGATAGTTTCTACCGTATGTAGAATAATCTAGAAATACTGCATACCTGCTAGAATAGTTTCTACCGTCTGTAGAATGATCTAAAAGAAATGTTGTACATTCTTTCATCAGTGTGTTCACACACATCTCAGTGTTCACGTACAACTGCGGTACAAGAAAACATAATTTCAACTGTTGCAAAAGTATAAATATAATAGTATAAATATAGTATAAATAAAGTATAAATATAAACATAAACAGAAGAAAAGTGAAATATTTTGATCTGGTAAATAAGTATTATTGACTAAACGTTTTTGAATTATCTAAACCTTCACTATTCAAGAAAACAAAGTAATTTTAGAATTTTATTATAGTACNAGCTTTCTAAAGCGGAATTTCTCCCATTTTTAAAATTTAAAGAACCAATTATGTCCCACAGGAGACTGAGAATCTCAGGTTTACTCCTATTATAATTTTTATTTTTTTTATTTTGCACTTTTAATAGATATAATTGATAATATTATTACATATAGTGCGTATTACGTCACCAGAACTGCAGCTATATGGCAGTGCAGTATATTGGTCACTTGATACATACGGAAATCACGTGACCAGCATACTGCACTGCCATTGGCTGAAGTTCTGGTGACTGATTATACCCCCTTTCATTATTCCTTTACAGTCCCTTACAGCATAAATTATCAAAGTCTCGACTTTTACTTACTTTGACATAAGGATAGATAATTAGTTGAGAAGTTGAGGGTATACCTTCAATCTCAGATCTAAACAAACAAGTTAAAAGAAAATATTCAAAATGTTGGATTTACAGTAATCAAATAAATGCAGCTTTAGCAGATATTCATTCCCTTTGTATATTTGCATTCTCAGATAAATATTCTATTGTTAAATCATCACAAACTGAATAATCAAAAACTCAAGAAGAAACACAAAACAAAAACATATTTCTGAGAGCTCGGGGTAAAAAATAAAAAATTTAATTAAAGAATTAAATATTGAAAATTATCATACAGTGAAAATATGAGATATGAGATTTAAATCGTCCAAGAAATATGATGACGAAGAAATTTGAGTATGCAAAGATTCAGCTTTACAAAATTCGTTTTTTATTTTACAGTATTTTTTTTAGTTTTTTTTATCTTTGATAGGAATAAAAATACTCTAATACAAGATCTGAGTCTTTGCCACAACCTCAAATTTTCGAATTCCTATATCTTTCCAACCTGATGGCGTAAACTTTTGATATTTCAAACTTAATTAATTGATCTAACAGAATTCACAGTTAACAATTTCTTAGGTCTACGACATTTTGTTGTAAAGATTTATGGATTAGAAAATTAGAGCTTCTGGCAAAGACCTAATTCCTTTTATATACTGTATAAACTGTGTCCCACGAAACATGACAGTAGCAAGAATGTTGTCTTTGAATTTTGCAAAATCCCTAGTACTGTTGTTTCCAAAATGTGGTCTGCCTTTTTTGTACTTTAAATATTACATTAAGATTTCGAAATTTTTTGTTGAAATTGAAATCTGAACGAAATTCTTAAAGGGACCGTTTACTTATTTAGGTAATTTCATGGTAAACTAAACAGCCTAATAGCTGTAAATTGGTATTAGTCATACTTTTCAAAGACAACTGTGGCCGGAGAAAAAGCTGATTTTTCGTTCAGAATTCGAGCGCAAAGGGACGATCCCTTTCTCTGAAACACTATACTAGACGTTTTTCAACAACAACAGCCCCAAACAATTTCAATTTATCATATTTTAATGCCATTATGTNCAGAAATTTGTTTTTTATTTCAAACTACCCTCACTACCACCGACTTGTTAAAACTTTTTTATCAACATTTATTCATGAATTTTTTTCAATTGTCCACTACCCTCACTACCTCAGACTTTTTAAAATCTATATATCAACATTTTTTCTAGAATTTGTTTTTTTTTAAATTACCCTCACTACCACCGACTTGTTGAAACGTTTTTTTTTCAACATTTATTCAAGAATTTTTTTTATTTCAAACTACTCTCACTACCACCGACTTGTTGAAACTTTTTTATCAACATTTATTCAAGAACTTTTTTTTCAATTCCCCACTACCCTCACTACGACTTTTTAAAATCTATAAATCAAAATTTATTCAAGAATTTTTTTTTCAATTCCACACTACCCTCACTACCTCCGACTTTTTAAATCTTTATATCAACATTTATTGAGGAATTTGTTTTTTATTTCAAACTACCCTCACTACCACCGACTTGTTGAAACTTTTTTTTCAACATTTCTTCAAGATTTTTTTTTCAATTCCCCACTACCCTCACTACCTCCGACTTTTTAAAATCAACATTTTTCAAGAATTTTTTTTTCAAACTACCCTCACTACCACTACCTCACTTTGGGACCTAACATTCTAAACACAATATTCGCAATTGCAAAAAAAAATAGGGTAGTCGCAAAAAATTATTACCTTCCCAGCTCTATTGTATTTTCTTGAATAAATAATTTCCTAAGATTCGTCCAGTCTACGTTTTCCAGTCTTAAACAAATTTTGTGACAATTTGATAATTTTTGACAAAAATGTTTTAGTTTTGATTTAATTCAAATCTATAAAAAATTCTCATTTAATCTTATATTTAAAAACTATTAAAATATGTTTTGTTTAGGTATTTCATACAAAATTTGTAATTATAAAAAGTTTTCCAAAAGTAAATGGTTCGAAATTCATGTTTTTTCATTGACATTTCCTTAAGTTTTTTTTCTTCAAGTTTTTTTTTTTAATTACCTGTAATCTTTAAAGTCAACTTTAGAACTATTTAAGTTTCTCATTTCTTTATTTTCTACGAGGTTTGGTGTTGTACTTGTTCCTGGTTCTTTTACAGTACTTGCTTCTTTGTTTGTACTTTCTCTGTGTACTTTACTAGTAATTGTTTCTTGTACTCTGAAAGCCTTTAAGCTTGAATTCTCAATCGTATTCAAACTTTTCACTTGAATTTCGTTTTTGTCCAAGATGTCCAAAATCATTTCTTGATCAATTGTTGAAGAACGAAGAAGTTTCCCTCTCGATATCCTTGGAAAAATAAACTGTTAAAAAGTTAAGTTTTTTAAATTTGAAAAATACGCAATTTTTGACACGGTTAATAAAAGTCCTTAAAATTTTGTGCGTTTTTTCAAATTTACCGAAAGCATTTAAAAATTACGAAAATTTAGTTTGATATTTGAACAGAATATCCCGGATATTTGAACAGAATATCCCGGATATTTGAACAGAATATCCCGGATATTTGAACAGAATATCCCGGATAGCTTGATCTCGATATTCAACGTGAATTTGAGGATAAGTAAAGTACAGGCTGTCCAAGCTGTTATGAAGAGTTCAATTTTCTATAGATAGGGTCTGCAGGAGACCTTGGTTTTTAATTTTACCTCAGTAACCCACTTACTTTCTTCTACCTCTAGTTATATAGACTACTAGCTAAAGGGCCTGGCGTTGCCCGTGGAAAAAAAAAGAAGAAAAAATTTTTGAAAAAAACCGAATTTTTTTTGGCCTATGTCACCCCTAGACTAGCCATAAGTGTCCAATCGGTCCAGCCGTAGACCGGCTATGGGAACATATATACGAATGTCTTGTTTTATTGTATAGACGATAAGAACTTGTTTAAAGCCTAGGTTTTTCACAAGTTATTAGAAAAATTCTCATCAATTTTTCACAAGTTATTAGAAAAATTCTCATCAATTTTTCACAAGTTATTAGAAAAATTCTCATCAATTTTTGCGTGAATCTTACAACCTTAAGGGATCACTGTGTGGAGTGTATTATGATAGATTTTGTTTCTTATCAGCTTCAAAAAAGTGGTACACCATCTTGATATCATTAAAATTGAAAGATATATTTTGAAAATTTAGACAATTTTTATCTAAATAATCTGGAGTAATTTCTTTATGTTTACGTCAATTTTTTAATATGACGGACAACATTTTGATGATTACTATATTTCAACTGTATTGCTGCAACTTGTTAACAAAAGAAATGCTGTGTAAAATAATATGATGTAATCACTTATTTCGATGTTTTTTGGACCACCCTGTATAAAACTACTTTAAAAATTCTCTTTTTTCGCTCACCTTGTTCCATTAACACAGTCAACCCCAGATATTTGTGAAGCTAAGTTGTCAATATTAACCCTAAAAATTGAAATAGTTGATGAGAAATATTCAATTAATATTTTTTTTCGAAAATATCCGAATTAACAATATATTTCTAACGACTACCTGTATATTTGCATTGTCCATGCTTAGACCGGGACTTTTAAAAGGTTAATGATATAAAACCTGGTTTTCGAAACCATATCCAATGAATGGGCTAAACAATCATGAATTTCTTTATTGTTAACTATTATTTTTTTAATTATTTTATCTAGGTATTTTTTAAAAATAAAATCAATTTTAAAAACCGAGTTTTGTCTATCAAGACTCTCTAAAGTTTCTGTCTCTGATAAAGTAAGAAAATTTTGGCAGGTGTGAGTATACTTTACTATTTACATACATAGACTTGGATCCCGGTCCCAAACCTAGGGATTTAAAAGGAGAAGGAAAGGGCCTATATATAGTTACATACAGGACTATCCACAAGGAATAATATATAGTTACATACAGGGCTATCCACAAGGAATAATATATAGTAACATACAGGGCTATCCACAAGGAATAATATATAGTAACATAAGGGCTATCCACAAGGAATAATATATAGTAACATAAGGGCTATCCACAAGGAATAATTTATAGTTACATACAGGGCTATCCACAAGGAATAAACTTTAAATCACTCTTTAAACATATCGCGGTCAAATGATTCGTTCTTGTGAATTAGTTGTTTTTAATTCCAGGTCAGTATAAATAAATGGCAATTTTTTATCAATTTGGGTTGAACTATTCAGGATATATAAATAAAAACACAAAGTATACCTGGTGCAAGAAAGAAGTAGAACATGTTGATGTCGTCTTCCATGTTCTACTCTACCATCTAAAGGCAGGGTTTCCTATACAATGTTAATTTCAAAAAAACGTCTATTTAGTGTTATTGACGCGATTCATTTGATTGCAATAATCTATTTTCTAGGCTGGATAGACGTCATTCAGCCTCATTTTTTTTATTTAAAGGGAGTGTTCGCGAAAAATTAAAGGGGGTATAGGCTTACGTCGAACACCCCCTTTAAAAAAAACACTTTCAACAATTCTGATTTATTATCATAGGTATTTTTATGACTAGGCTTTTGGGCGCTTCGCACCCCACTTGCTATTTAAGCTATTAACTCTATAAGTCGTCATTTTTAATCGCTCTCAAATCTTCTTGCTTTTTTTTCTGTTTAATTTAAAAAATAATAAATGACTACATTTTTTCGGGAAAAACTTTCAATTATGACGGTCAATAAACCTTCTTTAAAAATAAAAATGTCTGTCTGATCGGCTAAGTCGTTTTGACGTTTTTTTATACAAACAATCAAACAGACAACATGTAAAAAATAACTTGGAACTAATCGGTTCCTTCGTTTTGATTGTATAAGATACAAACAAATAAACCAACGGGCAAGTCAAATTTATATTTAGATTTTCTTTTGTTAATTACTTGCCTGTGCGGGGGCCTCCAATATTCCAGAATTTCTAGGAACACTTTTTTCACAAATAATAATAAAAATAAAAACATCTCCTGTTTTGTAATCGAGTGAACAAAAATAAAAAATGACTGAAAAGTTTCCGTTCCTTCGTTTTCTTCTCCGCCTGTTTATGCTAATACCCGCCTCAGTCTCCGCCTCATCACAAACGGCGGTAACTGTCCTAAATACAGAATTAAAATAAAAATAGGTCAAGTAACGGGTTTTCTAAAATATGTGAACACTACAGAAGGGATGAATAACATTAGATTAGGGCCGGAATTATTTAGTATTGATCTTAAGCTTTCGTTTGATAATCTCAACGGTTTGTATTCTTAATGCACGACACTACCCTCATCAGACTCTTATTGATCGATCTCCTTGAAATAATTCACATCCAAAAAGTGTAAAATTTGTCTATCTCAAATCGGTGGTGACAACTTACAAGACTGAGACGGCCACATTTACCGTTATACGGCTAAACCTTCTTACATGATACCGAATTAATGCCGTGAATGAACAATTTTTTTTCACAAAGATCCTAATCTATTTGTAAAATGTTTTATTTTACCTGTCTCCCGATATAATTATCAGATTTCTTTTATCAATATTTATACCAGAACATCTACGCCTAAATTAATGGATTTTAGGTGCAGGTCAAATTATGACGTTTACAAGTAAAAAAATGTATTGAAACATCAATTTTGTAATTGTGTATTATACTTTAAACTTTAGATATTTTGTATTTAAAAAAAAATAAAAAAAGTGGAAGACTAAGACACATGAAGCAATTCATAAAAATCTACGAACAAACAAACATTTACGCATGGTTTTGATAGTAATTACAAAAGCAAATAATGTCTTCGTCTTTTGAAACATGAGACATGAACTAAATTGTTTAATTTATAAATAAATGGAACTCCCAATGACATAGCAAGCGATTTGACAAAGAAAGAAACAAGTTTACAATTGCAGGAACCCATCAATGTAAAAAAAAAACAAATAATTTCCCGACAGGATACGACTTATTTTTTGGAAAAGCCTGTAAGCTGTACAAAATAAATAAACTATAATTAGATATTAATACCTGCAATCCCAAGGCCAATTAATTTGTGTACAAATTCCTTGATTACATTCAAACAGTCCTGTTAATGTTATACAGTTCCTCTTATCCCTGTAATAAAAGAATATTCTGTTAATGTTATACAGTTCCTTTTATCCCTGTAATATAACAATATACTGTTAATGTTATACAGTTCCTCTTATCATTGTAATAAAAGAATATTCTGTTAATGTAATACAGTTCCTTTTATCCCTGTAATATAACAATATACTTTTAATATTATACAGTTCCTTTTATCCCTGTAATATAACAATATACTGTTAATGTTATACAGTTCCTTTTATCCCTGTAATATAACAATATACTGTTAATGTTATACAGTTCCTATTATCCCTGTAATATAACAATATACTACTAATGTTATACAGTTCCTCTTATCCCTGTAATATAACATTATACTGTTAATATTATACAGTTCCTATTATCCCTGTAATATAACAATATACTGTTAATGTTATACAGTTCCTTTATCACTGTAATATAACAATATACTGTTAATATTATACAGTTCCTTTATCACTGTAATATAACAATATACTGTTAATGTTATACAGTTCCTCTTATCCCTGTAATATAACAATATACTGTTAATATTATACAGTTCCTTTTATCCCTGTAATATAACAATATACTACTAATATTATACAGTTCCTATTATCCCTGTAATATAACAATATACTACTAATGTACAGTTCCTCTTATCATTGTAATAAAAGAATATTCTGTTAATGTAATACAGTTCCTTTTATCCCTGTAATATAACAATATACTTTTAATATTATACAGTTCCTTTTATCCCTGTAATATAACAATATACTGTTAATGTTATACAGTTCCTTTTATCCCTGTAATATAACAATATACTGTTAATGTTATACAGTTCCTTTTATCCCTGTAATTAACAATATACTACTAATGTTATACAGTTCCTTTTATCCCTGTAATATAACAATATACTACTAATATTATACAGTTCCTATTATCCCTGTAATATAACAATATACTACTAATGTTATACAGTTCCTTTTATCCCTGTAATATAACAATATACTACTAATGTTATACAGTTCCTTTTATCCCTGTAATATAACAATATACTACTAATGTTATACAGTTCCTATTATCCCTGTAATATAACAATATACTGTTAATGTTATACAGTTCCTATTATCCCTGTAATATAACAATATACTGTTAATGATATACAGTTCCTTTTATCACTGTAATATAACAATATACTGTTAATGTTATACAGTTCCTTTTATCACTGTAATATAACAATTATAGAGATTAGCCCTTTCCCATAAGAAGTTCTGCTATTTTTATAATTGTCGATTTTATCCTTTTTAAAAACAAAGTACAAAGTAGTTTCCTGTTTTGTTCTGATAAACTTTATAATATTGTTGCGAAGAAAACTTTCGTAGCATAGTTTCTTCCATAGTTTGCTGATCATTATTAATTTATGAATTAAGAATCCACAAAATGGTTTAAACCCCAACCTAGAAACAGTTTAGACCCAATCTAGAAGCAGTTTAGACCCGACCTAGAAACAGTTCTGACCCGACCTAGGATCAGTTAAGACCCAATCTAGAAACAGTTTAGACCCGACCTAGAAACAGTTCTGACCCGACTTAGAAACAGTTTGGACCCGACCTAGAAACATTTCTGACCCGACCTAGAAACATTTCTGACCCGACCTAGAAGCAGTTTAGACCAGACCTAGAAATAGTTATGACCCGACCTAGAAACAGTTTGGACCCGACCTAGAAACAGTTCTGACCTGACCTAGAAACAGTTTAGATCCGACCAATACACAGTTCTGACCCGACCTAGAAACAGTTTAGACCCGACCTAGAAACAGTTCTGACCCGACCAAGAAACAGTTTAGACCCAACCTAGAAACAATTTAGACCCGACCTAGAAACAGTTCCGACCCGACCTAGAAACAGTTTAGACCCGACCTGGAAACAGCTTAGACCCGAAATAGAAACATTTTAGACCTGACCTAGAAACAGTTTAGACCCGACCTATAAACAATTTAGACCCGACCTAAAACAGTTCCGACCCGACCTAGAAACAGTTTTAACCTGACCTAGAAACAGTTTAGACCCGACCTAGAAACAGTTTAGACCCGAACTAGAAACAGTTTAGACCCAACCTAGAAACAATTTAGACCCGGCCTAGAAGCAGTTAAGACCCGACCTAGAAACAGTTTAGACCCGACCTAGAAATGGTTTAAACCCGACTAAAAATAATCAGGACCCAGCCTAGAAATGGCTTAGACCAGACCCAGTGATGGTTTAAACCCGACCTAGAAATAGTTGGGACCAGGCCTAGAAATGCTTTAGACCCGACCTAGAAATGATTAAACCCTGCCTAGAACTGAAACTGAAGAGTTTAGTTTCATTTGCTTTTTACTCTCTCAATTTTCTGCCCCAAACTCTATTCTAAAGTACAAAACAAATTCGAAAATCTCTTCGAACCTTTAATGCATATCAGTACGTATGCACACGGTAGATAAGAAAACAAATATATAAAAAAACAGAACTCTACGGTTTTTCATTGTACATGTAATATTTTTAATCAATATTTTACAAATAAAACATTAAATTGTTGCTTTGGTTTGGTTATGAGCCTATCTATAATGTATCTGTTATTTAAAATGTCTGAACAAAAAATTAATAAATGGTTGGTGTATACCTGCAGTCGAAGCTGTCTCCTGTACTATTGTAAGTACATGTATTTACTCTACTAATATTTCTACATAAACCATTCCTAAAATATATTTTTCACAAAATCCATTTCATATTTATTGTTTTCATTCCCTTTGTGTCATCTACAAATTTGTTTTAAAATATCTATATTCAAAGCAAGTTCATCAATGCTGTTTAAAAATATCTATATTTAAAGCAAGTTCATCAATGCTGTTTAAAAATATCTATATTTAAAGCAAGTTCATCAATGCTGTTTAAACATATCTATATTTAAAGCAAGTTCATCCATGCTGTTTAAAAGTATCTATAATTAAAGCACGTTCATCAATGCTGTTTAAAAATATCTATATTTAAGGCAAGTTCATCAATGCTGTTTAAAAATATCTATATTTAAAGCAAGTTCATCAATGCTGTTTATAAAAATAAGGCAAAGGAGCCACCCCAATACACTCCCTTGGGATATCCCAGAGATAACTGCAGACCAACTGGATGATTTACCATTCAAAACAACTCGCTGCTATGAAAACCTGAGTTATATTTTTCTTCGACACTCTAGGTGCATCAAAGTTTTGTAAAAAGCTACCTAATAATAATAAAAAAATCCGCAAAAGTTAAAATGATTTGCAATGTACATATTATTCAATATTTTGTTAAATTTGTGGTTTGTGGACAAATTTAACAGAAAATATTTAAAGATTTAATTGTAAGCAAAATTATATAAATACAGAACTATTTTCAAGCTTATTATGCATATTTTTACCATTACAGCTTGAATATAACTGTACATTGCACATTGTACAGTTTTAGTTTAATTACTTACACAGACTGATACTGTACATTGTACATTGTACAAATTTAATTTAATTACTTACACAGACTGATACTGTATAGTGTACATTGTACAGTTTTAGTTTAATTACTTGCACAGACTGATACTGTACATTGTACATTGTACAGTTTTAGTTTATTTACTTACACAGACTGATACTGTACACTGTACATTGTACAGTTTTAGTTTATTTACTTACACAGACTGATACTGTACATTGTACATTGTACAGTTTTAGTTTATTTACTTACACTCAATGATGCTGTGCAGTGTACATTGTACAGTTTTAGTTTATTTACTTACACACACTTATACTGTACAGTGTACATTGTACAGTTTTAGTTTATGTACTTACACACACTGACACAGTACAGTGTACATTGTACAATTTTAGTTTATTTACTTACACACACTGATACTGATGATCCAATTGTACACACTCCCCATCCTTCTTACAGTTTCTAGTCTCTCTACTGTAACAAAAATTATGAAAATTGTTGATTTAAATAATAAGTTTGATGTACACACTTCATAAAACATATGTCCTGTAAAAATAAAATTATCAATTTTGAAAAGAAATTTAGTTTTTTTGTGCCACATACTCAAATTTTCTAAAACCAATATTTGCAACCTAATTTTTATTTTAACCTTAGACTATTTAATTTAAAAAATTCTTTGCTTAAAATATAAACATTGGGTTGCAAAGTTATAGTAAGTAGAAAACCAGAGTTTGTGGCAAGAAATCAGTTCCTTAACATTAGTTTAGAAAGGTTGAATCAAGAACTATACCCAAAGGGAATAGATTATATATAGATTGGAATTGACTCGAATTGTAAAACGGCCAGTTTGTTGTACTGTTCCCATACTTCAGGTGTACTTCACACATTTGTTCTGCATAACCTTTTGGGCCCTGGAACATCATTTTTTAGAAAAAAGTTTTCTTGAAGATTATTTGAATATCTTTAAATCAATTCTCTGATAGCCTGCCATGCATTCCCGAGTTCATTTCAGCATAAGTTTTAATAAAATTCAATGTGGTGTTTTTACTTATTTTTAATTTGAGGTAATCAAACAGTAAAACCAATATTTTTGAAATACTCAAGTTACCAAAATATTGAAATTGAGGATGAGGAAGGTAAAACTCTTAAATTTCAATAACCTTTATACAGTGGGACTCATAAAACTGTGAAATGGAAAGAAAACATTTAAACAATCTAATTTATGTTTGCTAAGTTTTAAGTCTTATGAATTCATAAATCCATAATTTTTGCAGATTTATTAAAAGTTTATCTCTATTTCTTCTTTCATGGAATATTTGAAATCACGTTTGTTATTTTATCTGAAACTATAGAGGGAGAACAAGCCACTCTATACCTATAATTATATTCAAAGTATATAAGTGTTCTTTTGTTTTTAATAAAGTATTTGAGAAGAAGAAGTTTTAAGTCTTGTTAGAAAGTAATTGGGGAAGGCGGAAAGAGGGGAAACAACCCTAGAAAATTGGGAGAAGCTTCTAAATGTAGGATGTAGATACTTAAAATTCTTTTTTAAAATGGAATAAAAACATTTTGATATTTTTAAATCTGAAATTTTTTTCTTTACTGGTTCATCAACCTAGGAGTGAAATAAATGTTATTCCCCCCCCCCTACACCTCCTGGCTTAATCCTAGAATCTCCTTGCTAGAGTCGTCTTCTAACTGTTTTGCTTTTTGGGACATTGACTTGCATTGATTTACGAAAATCATCCAAATTTTGAGAAAAATATTTATTGTCGAAAATGGAAACCCTTATTACTTTTTGTTTGTTTTTCTTTTCCAATTATATACAAAGAGTCTTACAACGACGATTTTTACATTTCAATGTTTAATAAAATAATGATTTCAATTCACCTATAGCGCGCGAATACACACGTTAAAAGTTATTTATCAACTTTATAAAACAAATAAATTGTAATTAATATGTCCAGGGATCATATTGTATTAGTGAAATGTACTCCGTATAATTTGTGAACATTTACATGAATTTTACACTTTGAACTCCCTTTCAGGCTGAAAGGGACTGACAAAATTCATACCGAGGGATTGTTTAAATTCCATTCTATTCATTTTCTCTGTTCTGTGACTATACCAGGAATTCTCCACCAAAATCCACTATTTATTCGGTCAGAGTACCGCAGATCACTGCAGTACGCTGACCGAAAGCTTAGTTTAGGGTGAAGCAGGAATGCATCCAAATAAATGTAGAACACTTTTTTGAAAACAAAGCTATACATGTTCCTGATAAAATGATTTAGAGTTTATAAACATAAACATTAACTTTACTGTTGTAGAAATAGAGATATTTTGTAGATCATATACCTTTTCCAATATATGTATTTATACAAGAATAGATGTACAAATCACACAATAATGTTGTTCACATTTAAAATATAATTACCTACTAACAAAATGATGTTGATCACATTTAAAATATATTTATCTACTAACACAATGATGTTGTTCACATTTAAAATATATTTACCTACTAACACAATGATGTTGTTCACATTTAAAATATATTTACCTACTAACACAATGATGTTGTTCACATTTAAAATATATTTACCTACTAACACAATGATGTTGTTCACATTTAAAATATATTTACCTACTAACACAATGATGTTGTTCACATTTAAAATATATTTACCTACTAACACAATGATGTTGTTCACATTTAAAATATATTTACCTACTAACACAATGATGTTGTTCACATTTAAAATATATTTACCTACTAACACAATGATGTTGTTCACATTTAAAATATATTTACCTACTAACACAATGATGTTGTTCACATTTAAAATATATTTACCTACTAACACAATGATGTTGTTCACATTTAAAATATATTTACCTACTAACACAATGATGTTGTTCACATTTAAAATATATTTACCTACTAACACAATGATGTTGTTCACATTTAAAATATATTTACCTACTAACACAATGATGTTGTTCACATTTAAAATATATTTACCTACTAACACAATGATGTTGTTCACATTTAAAATATATTTACCTACTAACACAATGATGTTGTTCACATTTAAAATATATTTACCTACTAACACAATGATGTTGTTCACATTTAAAATATATTTACCTACTAACACAATGATGTTGTTCNCCCCCCCCCCCCTGTAATCCTTAAAATATATTTTTTTGGAAGAAGGTAAGAGAACAATTTTTATTAATTATTATCTTCGTTATTTACCTCTTATTCACTGGTTCACACTCATCCTCGTTATTGCAGGTTATTCTTTCAACTAAATCCTAGAAATATATTCGGAACTAGATTCTAGAAATATATTCCGTACTAAATCCTAGAAATATTTTCGATACTAAATTCTAGAAATATATTCGGAACTAGATTCTAGAAATATATTTGGAACTAATTGCTAGAATTATATTCGGAACTAAATCCTAGAAATACATTCGGAACTAAATCCTAGAAATATATTCGGAACTAAATCCTAGAAATATATTCGAAATTAATTGCTAAAAATATATTTGGAACTAAATCATAGAAATATATTCGGAACTAAATCCTAGAAATATAATCTAATTCGGTTAACGTGTAAAAAAAGGTAAGTTGTTAGTTGTTATTAATCACAAGAAATATACATGTTATATATAATGGTTTTAGATATTCAATGAGAAAATGTCTACCTCATCAGATACAGGGCACACTGTATCCGATATTAGGGAACAATCTTTCCATACAATATTAGTTCCGTTCTTCCTGAAATTAGAAGAATATTAGATCCCGGTTCTCCTGGAAATGGAATATTATTAGATACGGGGTTTTCCTGGAATTAGAAGAACATTAGACGGGTTCTTCTTGAAATTAGAAAAACATTATATACGTTCTTTCTGGAATTAGAAGAATATATTATCCGTTCTTCCTGGAATTAAAAAAATATTATATATGTCCTTCCTGGAATTAGAAAAATGTTATATCTGTTCTTCCTAGAATTAGAAGAACGAGGAATAAAAAGTAGAACTTCGATGCTTCATAATCAATCATTCTATGATATCTTGAGTTTGACCAAAACGTTGGCACAGATTCACTTTTCACCTACAGAGAGTCCAGAATGTAAAGAATGTGAAAAATTGGAAAAACTGGATTTATCTAGATGAGAAAACTAATTTTTTCTTCGTACTTCGTTGAACAAAAAATTTGTGTAATTTTTTGTATTTTGAATAATGGATTTTCTAAAATAGTTTCGACCAGTCATAAACCTTTCCTGCCTGGTGTCATGATGGTTGCCCCAAATGTTGGGCACGATTGGTTCAGCCGTTTTGACAATTATTGGAAACGAACAAACCGATTACAAGTCAAATATATAAATACTAGCTTGGAACCAAGCGGTGCCAGGGTTAATAAAAGTTACTCCCGCCGTTTATCCGCACTTGAACGATTTTACCGGGAAACTAAATTTTCCCCATTAAAGTCGACCCACTCAACTTAGAATCTCAAAACTAAGCTAAGCACATTCCCGTGGTTCTCCCGAGTTCCAAACAAACAAACAGACAAACAGAGATTACAACTTTATATATATAGAATAGGACATAGGTGAGAAACATAAGTTTTGAATAATAATTTTATCTTTAGTGGGCGATTGGTCGTTTTCTTTCAGATACGTTAGATAGTAGATACGTATATTTATGTACATTTAGGTATATTTTAATGGAAGATACCTCTAGATTACATTTTACCTGACTTCTGCGTGGACTTGCGTACAAAAATTTGGTTTGGAGAGGCACCATTCAAAACATGATGCCCAGGCACAGTGATCTAAATATACAAGATATTCAAAACATGATGCCCAGGCACAGTGTTTTTAACACAAGATATTCAAAACATGATGTTTAGTGATCTAAGCATGCAAGATATTCAAAATATGATGCCCAGGCATAGTGATCTAAATATACAAGGTATTCAAAATATGATGTTTAGTGAGTTTAGTGATCTAAACATGCAAGATATTCAAAATATGATGCCCAGGCACAGTGATCTAAATATATAAGTTATTCAATCTAATCTTACTTCTATCTGTGCGTCTATAAGGAGAAAATTGTTAAAAACGACTCATGCTTGAGAACGTTGCGTCCATACAAATTAAGAAAGTTACAACATTCAACTCGGATCGTAAAAAAATCCATTTAATCCAAATAAATCATTTAGATATTATAAACAATAGTCATCGATTATTTTTCGACGCATTCGTATATAGTTAATATTTCATAATATTTTTGATCTCGTTTTTTTAAATAATATTTTGCTTGCGCTGGGTTTTCGAACATTCCTGGAAAATATGAAAATGTCGTCTTCATTATCAAAAAACCCCAAAACAGGAATAAAAGTAACTGTCAGAACATAGAAAATAAAAAATATATCTGGAAATATCAACTTTATATGAATGCGTCGAAAAATTATCGATTTAACTATTGTTTGTAATATCTAAATAATTTGTTTGGAATTAAATTGATTTTTTTACGATCTGAGTTGAATGTTGCAACTTTCGGAATTTGCATAAACGCAACGTTCTTCAGCATGAGTCGTTTTTAACAATTTTCTCCTTTTAGACGCAACGATATGAAGTAAGATTAGTAGCGATCAAAAGCGCTTATTTTTCGACGTAAGCCTATAACCCTCTTTCAATTTTTGCGAACACTCCCTTTAATCAATTTTAGGTCGTCGTAAAAGTCCATTCTTTGTGGGTAACTCTGTATGTCTCCAATATACCTGTATGAAGGCTATTTACAGTTGTACACATTGCCGGCTGATCCAGCAGTCCAGATTCAAGCTCACGTTTAGCAGGCATGTACACTAGATAGTTAAATATATGCTAATAAGTAGTTCTTAGCGATCGTGAATTGCTATTTAAGAGTTCCTCCTAAGGCAAAATTTCTGAAACTCTGAATGAAAACTTCGTGTATTATTTTCTTAAGATATATAAATGAATTAAGTCTTTGCAAGAAACTTTGAATTTCAGAAACCTATATCTTTGCAACCCAATGTCGTCGACCTTAGATATTTCAAACTTTGAATTCTGTAAGATCAAAACATATAAGTTTGAAATATTAAAGCTTTACAACATTAGGTTGCAAAGATATAGAGATTAGAAAATTTGAATTTGTAGCAATGACTCAATTTCTTCAGATGTTTTGTATGAACTAATATCTTGAGCTGCATGATATAAGGCTTGGCAGTATACACTTTTCCAGGTCTGGCACCAGACAATAAATGACAGTAACCAACGGAATTAAATCAAATATCGTCGTTTTTCTGACAAACCATTTTTTTCGGCGAAAATCAAAATTTTTTTTATCTTGAGATTTGGAACTTTCAAGAACAAAAACATAATCATTTGATAAAACCATAAAAATATAATAAATTACAACTTATAGGAGGGTATATATTTAAAATGAATTATAATCATAGATATGTATATGCAACTTAAGCGTAGGACAGATAGAAGTAAATTAGTAGCGATTAAAATCGAATTAATCAGCCTATACCCCCTTTCGTTTTTCCCGAACACTCCCTTTAAGAGTTACTTAGGTTTCAGCCTTTACCCCGTTTTCGTTTGTCGCAACAACTCACTTTAAGAGTTACTTAGGTTTTAGCCTATACCCCGTTTTCGTTTTCCCGAACACTCCCTTTAAGAGTTACTTAGGTTTCAGCCTTTACCCCGTTTTCGTTTGTCGCAACAACTCACTTTAAGAGTTACTTAGGTTTTAGCCTATACCCCGTTTTCGTTTTTCGTGAACACTTCCTTTAAGAGTTACTTAGGCTTCAGCCTATACCACCTTTTCGTTTTTCGCGAATACTCCCTTTAAGAGTTACTTAGACTGCAGCCTATACTCCCTTTTTGTTTTTTCGCGAACGCTCCCTTTAATAGTTACTTAGGTTTCATCCTATACCCCCCTTTCTTTTTTCGCGAACACACCCTTTAAGAGTTACTCCAGTTTCAGCCTATACCCCTTTTTCGTTTTTCGCGAACACTCCCTTTAAGAGCTAATTAGGCTTCAGCCTATACCCCTTTTCGTTTTCGCGAACACTCATTTTAAGAGTTACTTAGGTTTCAGGCTATACTCCCTTTTTGTATTTGCGAACACTCCCTTTAAGAGTTACTTCGGTTTCAGCCTATACCCCGTTTTCTTTTTTCGCGAACACTCACTTTAAGAGTTACTTAGGTTTTAACCTATACACCGTTTTCGTTTTTCGTGAACACTACCTTTAAAAGTTACTTAGGTTTCAGTCTATACCCCTTTTCGTTTTTCGCGAACACTCCCTTTCAGAGTTACTTAGGTTTTAGTCTATACCTCCTTTCGTTTTTCGCGAACACTCCCTTTAATAGTCACTTAGGTTTCAGCCTATACCCCCTTTTCGTTTTCGCGAACACTACCTTTAAGAGTTACTAGGGTTCAGTCTATACCCCCTTTTCATTATTTGCAAACCTTCCTTTAAGAGTTACTTAGGTTTCGGCCTATACCCCCTTTTCGTTTTCGATAAAACTCCATTTAAAAGCTCCATGCCCGATTCACAAAACGGTGCACTGAAAACAATGAGAAAGATATCGTCGTTTTTAACAACTAAAAAAATTAACAATTTCGAAATTACAAAAGCAGGAAAATTCTTTGCTGAGACAAAAGTTTAAAAGGAGTCGCATAAAATTACGTTGACAGTCCCTTGAATATTGTTTAAGCTGACCTATAGCTGTTAGATAAACCAGGGATACTGAGCTAAGCACAGCAACAGCCATACATAAACACAACCCACAGCATACAGCTCGTTCAGGGGCTTCCATCTTTATACGCCTATTGTACACCTCTACACTTTAGAGCACTCACATAGGTACAGCGAAATATATAAATCTGAAATATTGTATCCAGCTTGTTATTTCTAAGGTGCAGAGAAATATATAAATCCGAAATATTGTATCCAGCTTGTTATTTCTAAGGTACGGAGAAATATATAAATCTGAAATATTGTATCCAACTTGTTATTTCTAAGGTGCAGAGAAATATATAAATCCGAAATATTGTATCCAGCTTGTTATTTCTAAGGTACAGAGAAATATATAAATCTGAAATATTGTATCCAGTTGTTATTTCTAAGGTACAGAGAAATATATAAATCTGAAATATTGTATCCAGCTTGTTATTTCTAAGGTACAGAAATGTATAGATATGAAGAATGCCAGAATATGAGAAAAGAACCTCACAATAATAGACAAAACATATTACAGACACTATACATTACATTTTACATTGATAATCTTAATGGTATTTACTTTGTCTATGTTTGGTAGAGTTGATTGATTAGAAAACCAAGGATTTTGAAAAACATTTTATCCATAAATTGAAGAGCAGTGATATGTTTTGTCCGTTATGTTTGTGGTCTATGATAAAACCCTGATAATGAATATGAATGGATTGATAAGGATTGATCTTTTGGCACAGCACGACAATATGAGGAGAAAACAAGATAATATGAGGAGAAAACATGAGAATATGAGGAGAAAACATGAGAATATGAGGAGAAAACAAGAGAATATGAAGAGAAAACAAGAGAATATGAGGAGAAAACATGAGAATATGAGGAGAAAACAAGATAATAGGAGAAAACATGAGAATATGGGGAGAAACGTGAGAATATGAAAGTAAACAAGGCAATATGAGTACAAAACATGAGAATATGGGGAGAAACGTGAGAATATGAGGAGAAAACATGAGAATATGAGTATAAAACATTAGAATATGAGGAGTCATGAGAATATGAGGAGAAAACATAAAAAATATGAGGAGAAAACATGAGAATATGAGTAGAAAACATGAGAATATGGGGAGAAAACGTGAGAATATGTTGGAGAAAACGTGAGAATATGTTGGAGAAAACATGAGAATATATTGGAGAAATATTAGAATACGCGGAGAAAATATGAGAATAGGAGGAGAAAAAATGAGAATAGGAGGAGAAAATATGAGAATAGGAGGAGAAAATATGAGAATAGGAGGAGAAAATATGAGAATACGAGGAGAAAATATGAGAATACGAGGAGAAAATATGAGAATACGAGGAGAAAATATGAGAATACGACGAGAAAATATGAGAATAGGAGGAAAAAGCATGAAAATATAAGGATAAAAGTGTTGCATTTGACTGGTAAAAACGTATTTAAGGAGTCCAATAAAATATACATTATACAATTTATAAATATATATGTTTACGTGTAAGAGAATAAAAGAAATAATAGAATGATGATTGTATCTTGTATCTGATATCTGACCTTATTGTAAAACAACGATTAGTGAAAAGGCACTTTATTGTTTTGATAAATGTGCCTTCAGTGTCTTCTCCATTATCTAAGCAACGTAAAAAAAGAAAAAAAATAGAAATTAGCCAAAAAAAAATCTTAAAAGAAACTTTTTTCTGCTTTACCGCGCGGTACTTGCAGTAAGCAAAAATGAAATGGTTTATCATTTAAACTTTTTCCTTCTTTAAACTTTTTTGATTTATTACATTTTTGATAAGTCTGTCTGGCTAATTATTGGACATAGAATAAGAGACTGATAGAAATTAAATTGTTAAGGATTTACTAAAGGTTAAGTAACGGATGGCTTTTCCTTTTGAGATTAAAGGTTTCTAGGAATATCTTAAAACTCATCAAAAATATGACACAAAAAACAATTTTTCTTTTCAAATCTTTTAACGCATAAAATAAATAGAAATTCATACTACACAAATCTTTTTTCCATTTTAGGAGATTTTAAGATAATTTTTTCTCAAAACACTGCAAAAAATGTATTTTTTTCTTTAGACAAACACCGCATTGACAAATTCTAGAAAAATGTTTGTTTTTCACATTATAACTGAAAAATCACCTACACTAGAAAGATTTTGAAAGGTTTCCGAGAACTGAGAAGTGTCCGGGACAGATTCTCTGAGAAGTGTCCGGGACTGATTCTATGAGAATTGTCCGGGACAGATTCTCTGAGAAGTGTCCGGGACAGATTCTCTGAGAATTGTCCGGGACTGATTCTATGAGAATTGTCCGGGACTGATTCTCTGTTCAGTGTCCATGACTGATTCTCTGAGTAGTGTCCGGGACTGATTCTCCGATGAATGTGAAGGTTTGGACGGAGATTATCAGGGTTTGAGTTCTCTAGACTCGGTGTTCCTTGGCGGAGATTTACTCCAGGGTTTGCCAAGATCTATGAGCGGACATGACTCATGTTCAACCTGCCAACTATATTTATTATCTATGTACAGTGTACACGGTATTAATGTCTATACTAATATCTAATTCTAATAAAAAGGATTATATAATGTTAATTTTTATACGCATGCATCTTATTTAAATATATATTTTGTTTCATTATTAATTTGTCTGTCTGTTTTTGTACAATAAACGTAAAAACGGTTGAACCTATCAGACCCAGAAAAGGTTTATGACTGCCTGAAATTAAAACAAATTTTTGATTGAGAAAGAACTACTATCCCGTAAAACTAAACATTAACAACAGGTTTATTTACTAGTAAATATTTCAATACAAATATGTATTGTTTATTACAAAACATAATAATCTATCTACATCTGCAGAGACGTAGGTCAGCCCTGGACCTTTCAAATCAATGGATTTCAGGGGGTTTTCAAGTCCTTCAAAAGAAAATTAATTAAATCCCACCGAGACAAATTGCTGACTACGCCCTGTCCTGATCTATAAAGAAATAATATATATAATTTATATAATGAGGTTTTTGTATTATCTTTTTAATGAATATGTTGATCAATAATAATCATTATCGCTTCCTCTCATTCTGTTTATTATACTTATTTATCCCTATTCTCTTTATTTGATTTTTTCCTGGATTTCTTTTATTGATATTAAAGAACCGTCATTGTAATTTCAATTGACCCTATTAGAGAGGGACATAATATTCACAACTCTTTAAACCTTTATCATTTCAATCATGTAGCAGATATTGTCGTATTCTAGCTTTGAGACTGAAAGTGTTTAATTCTGACATGGTTTCTGTAGCGGAAATCCGCAAGTCACATTAGAAAAAAGTTGAAAAAAAAAATCAAAAATCTCATTTAATATTGATCAGACAAAGCTTGTATTGATACCGTTGTAAATTGGACTTGCCTTAGTTTCAGTAGAAGTAAATATTTCCATTTACTGATAGCGCCGATTCAAGGATTTATCTCTAATTGGATAAAGAGATAGATAGAAAAATAGATGTTACCACCATACTATTTCTATTGGTTCAGAATAGACAACAAACACATGACTGAACCCTTATTGAATTAGGCACTAATGGACTCGCCATACAGGAGTGGACTTGCCATTCTATAAATTGACGGTCGTCTCTTGACATTACGTCTACAGTTTCTTTAATTCCTTTAATTCCTTTAATTTCTTTATTCGATTGTCTTTCTTAATTCTTCCTTACTTGCTCCAACATTTTGCCTTCTTGTTTCCCACTCTTCCCCCATCTCTATTCCCCTTATCTTTCACACACCTCTACCATCCTTCTTGTTTCCATCTCTTCCCTTCATCTCTCTTCCCCTTATCTTTAACACAGCTCTACCATCCTTCTTGTTTCCATCTCTTCCCCTCATCTTTCTTCCCCCTTATCTTTCACACAGTTCTACCATCCTTCTTGTTTCCCACTCTTCCCTTCATCCCTCTTCCCCTTATCTTTCACACAACTCTACCATCCTTCTTGTTTCCATCTCTTCCCCTCATCTCTCTTCCCCTTATCTTTCACACACCTCTACCATCCTTCTTGTTTCACACTCTACCCCTCATCTCTCTTCCCCTTATCTTTCACACAGCTCAACCATCCTTCTTATTTCCCACTCTTCCCCTCATCTCTCTTCCCCTTATCTTTCACATACCTCTACCATCCTTCTTGTTTCCCACTTTTCCCTTCATCTCTCTTCCCCTTATCTTTCACACAGCTCTACCATCCTTCTTGTTTCCATCTCTTCCCTTCATCTCTCTTCCCCCTTATCTTTAACACAGCTCAACCATCCTTCTTGTTTCCCACTCTACCCCTTATCTCTATTCCCCCTTATCTTTCACACAGCTCTACCATCCTTCTTGTTTCCGCCTCTTCCTCTCATCTCTCTTCCCCTTATCTTTCACACCTCTACCATTCTTCTTGTTTCCCACTCTTTCCCTCATCTCTCTTCCCCTTATCTTTCACACACCTCTACCATCCTTCTTGTTTCCCACTCTTCCCTTCATCTCTCTTCCCCTTATCTTTCATACCTCTACCATCCTTCTTATTTCCCACTCTACCCCTAATCTCTCTTCCCCTTATCTTTCACACCTCTACCATCCTTCTTGTTTCCCACTCTACCCCTCATCTCTCTTTCCCTTATCTTTCACACACTTCTACCATCCTTCTTGTTTCCCACTCTTCCCCTCATCTCTCTTCCCCTTATCTTTCACATACCTCTCCCATCCTTCTTGTTTCCCACTCTTCCCTTCAATTCTCTTTCCCTTATCTTTCACACCTCTACCATCCTTCTTATTTCCCACTCTTCCCTTCATCTCTCTTCCTTCTTATCTTTCACACCTCTCCCATCCTTCCCGTTTCCCCCCTCATCTCTCTTCCCCCTTATCTTTCACACCTCACTTTTATGATAATGATGTTAACCCTCCCTCCCTCCCTCCCTGCCTGAACAGTAAACTCTCTTATATGATAACGATGTTTGCCATGTAAACATTTTGTTCTATATTTACCTTTATTTACCAAAATATTATGCTTTAAAATTTCTACCTTAATAACCATAAAATCAGAGATTGGATATTTTGTGTGGATATTATTACTCTTGAACGCTTGATCTCGCTATCC